GGTTGCTGGTGTGGGGCCCCACATGAGTGAGGTGATAAGAATCTGGGCCCTTCAAGCTACAGGCTCCCCTAGCAGTCTCCAGCAGACTGTATGTACATCTGCTTCAGGGACAGCCAGGGAAAGGGGAAACTGCATAGTTACTGCCATGTGTCCCATAACTGGCTCAAATTCACACAGGTAGTAAGTGTTGGAGTTGAGACTCAAACCAAGGGCTCCTGACTCAACTCAGGTGTCAGAGGATCCAGGGTGAAATCTCACCTTTGCTCTTACCTATCTGTGTGACCTTGGACAATTCCTTTCTCCTCTCTGGCTCTCAGTTTTCTTCTCTGTAAAAGTAATGGGTTGGACTTTGGGTCTCCAAAGTCGTGTCCAACCTTTATGTATGATTTCATGGCCAGTATTCTTCCCACTAGCCCCTAAGTGAGCTCCCCTCAGGAACACTGGATAAACTGCTGGTAGCCTTCCCAGGGTCCCCCTCTCTCCCCACCCCTACCCCAACCTCCTTGTTCTTATTCCTCTTTTCTTCTCTCTATTGTTGCTCAGTCGTTTTCAGTCAGGTCCCATTCTTTGTGACTCATTGGGGGTTTTCTTGGCAAAGATATTAGCATGGTTTGTCATTTCCTTCTCCAGCTCATTTTACAGATGAAGAAACTGTGGCAAACAGGGTTAACTGACTTGCCCAGAGTCACACAACTAGTGAGTGTTATGTGTCTGAGGCCGGATTTGAACTTAGGAAGATGAATCTCCCTGACTCCAGACCTGGCACTCTATCCACTGCAGCGCCACCTAGCTGTCCTTTCTCTTTATAACCTTTCCCTCAGTGATCTCATCCACTCCTAGGATTTCAACTCTCCTTTCAATGCAACCCCCTCCCACACCCCTAATCTCTGGTCACCTGCTCTTACATCTCCAGCAGGGGGTCCAGCTAGCGCTCTGAATTCTACAGATCTCAAATCAAGCTTTCAAACTCATTAAAAAAAATCACCAATGCTCCCAGTCACCCAGGCTCAAACTTTGCAGTCGTTTCTTGTTCTTCCCTCAGCAAACCTACTGACCTTGCCAGCATAATCCCTTTCGCCTCTTTCCCTCCTTATAATCCTTACCGTCAATACCTTGCATCATCACCATCCACCCACCTGGCCTATTGCAATGGCTCCCCTCCCTTAGGTGTCATCTCTCCCCTACAGTTTGGTGCCCACACTCCTGCCAGCTAAATCCTGCTAATACACAGCCTCAGCTCAGGCCACTTGGAATGACTTCCCAATTGCTTCCTGAATCAAATTTCAGCTCCTTAGCCTGGCAGCCAAGGTTCCACCCTTTTTTCCTTCTTTCCTCTCTGTCCCTCTTCTTGTCTCTCTCTCTCCATCCCTCCCTTCTTTTCTTCCTTTCTTACAATTTTCATTTCATTTTATTTTTATTCTGAACTTGATAAACATCCAATACAACAAGCCTTTCCATACTTGAAAGTATAAATCTCTGGCAGGTAGAGCCTGAGTTTCTTTTGTAAGCATCTAATACATTCAACCTGGGGCTTTCAGAGCTGCTCTGCTTAGCTGGGCTGTCTTCTACTCTCTTATTTGGGAGAGGGGCTCTATCCCTGACTGTCCCTCCTGCACATCTCCCTACCTCCCTTTCCTTTTAAAAAAGAAGGAAAGAAGGAAGGAAGGAAGTGAAGCCTTGTAATAAATATGCAGTGAAGTCCAAGGCTGAGTCCCAAAGGTGTAGCTCCTGCTGACCCTTGGAGCCGTTTCTCCATGAGTCCTCTGTACTCTGCACTGACTGCAGTTCTGAAGGCTTTCAAAGTTGTTATTTTGACATTGCAGTTATTAATGTCTACACTGTTTTCCCGGTGCTGATCTTTTCACTCTACATTAGTTCATATAAGACAAGTCTCCCCAGGTTTTTTCTGAAACTGTCCCTTTCAACATTTCTTATGGCACAATAGTATTATAAAGAGCTTTTCAAACTTTCAAGAGCCATATAAATGCTAATTGTTGTCATAATTATTATTACTATTGTAATAATCTTGAAGCAGCTGGAGAGGGGGCACAGCGCAGAGAGTGCTAGACTTAGAGTCAGAAGACCTGAGTTCTAATCCAGTCTCAGACATTTGCTAGCTGGGTGACTCTGGGCAAGTCACTTCACCTCTGTTTGCCTCAATTTCCTCATCTGTAAAATGAGGATCATAATAGCATCTATCTCTCAGGGTTGGGGGGGCAGCTAGGTGGTGCTGCCATGGATAGAGTGCTGGATTTGGAATTAGGAAGACTCATCTTTCTGAGTTCAAATCAGGCCTCAGACACTTACTAGCTGTGTGACCCTGGGCAAATCACTCAACCCTGTTTACCTCAGTTTCCTCATCTGTAAAAGGAGCCGGAGAAGGCAATGGCAAACCACTCCAATATCTTTGCCAAAAAAACCCAAAATGGGGTCACAAAGAGTTGGACATGACTGAAAAAAAAAGATTGAGCAATAACCACAACTTGGGACTGTCGTGAGAATTAAATGAGATAACATATTGAATTCTTAGTACAATGCCTGGCACATAGTAGGTGCTTAGAAAATACTGTTTCCTTCCTTATTACTATTACCTCTGAGCCTAGCAGTGCTATTGCTTGGCCAAAGTTTAAGGACACCCAGAATGGCTGGATCAATTCCCAGCTCCATACATAATGCATTAAATAAATACATTAATACATTAAAGCACCTGTTTTCCTACAGCCCCTCCAGTGTTTGTCAACTTTGTAAATCTGAAGGGTGTGAGATAGTACCTCAGAGTTGTTTTAGTTTGCATTTCTCTAATTATTAGTGATTTTTTTATATAGCTAGGGTTTCTTCCTCTGAAAACCTCCTGTTCATAACCTTTGACCATTTATCAGCTGGGGAATGGCTCTTATTCTTATAAATTCAAATCCATTCCCTCTAGGAAATTATTATTATTAGAAATGAGATCTTTATCAGAATTAACATCATCATCATCATCATTATTATATGCTCCTCCTCCCCAAAGGCCTGTTTCTGTGGAGGGCACCACGCTTGACAGAAGATAGGATCTAGGTTTTTTATAGCACCAGTCATAGTGCTATAAACATATAGTATCTGGAGCCATCATAAGGCCTGATACTCTGTTAACCAAGTGGCCAAATGAAGCCCATTTGTGACAGGTACCAGACAGAATGCCCTCACACTGAAGGTTCCCTGTGCTCTCTGCTGGTCAGAGACCAAGGAATACCTGCACTTGACTTACTTTCTGGTTCTCGCCTGTTTGACCCCCAAGCCAGCCAGGCTTCCTTTTACTCCCTGTTCTTTGGGAAAGCAAGACCCTTTCTGACTGGTTCTCTGGGCTTGGGTTCCCAGGAAGATTGCCACCCCCTCCCCACCCCCACCTAAGCTGACTGCCCTTGTTTTGTGTTGATTTCTGGTCCCAGTTTCTCTTCCTGGTGTTCTTATAACTCTTCTGACTGACCTTCATTATTCCCCTTCACACATTGTGCAGTCCAATCAAACTGTTCAATTACACACACAGTACTCTATCTCCCACCTCCAGACCATTGTACTAAAGGCTCTCCCTCCTCAACTCTACCTTTTGGGGTCCCAAGTTTCCTTTAAGGCTTGGCTTAAGTGCCATCTCTTACATAAGGATCTTTCTTCTTCCCTCTACCTGCTAGTGTCCTCCTTCCCAAAGGATCCTGAGTCTGTTTCATGTGTACTTACAGACTCAGAGACTTTAGGGTTGGAAGGGACCTTAGAGATCATCGGGGCCCTTCCCCTCATTTTACAGATGAGGAAACAGGCCAGAGAGGTGAAGTTACTGCCTAGGGTCCCCCAGCTAGTCAGTGATGGAGGCAGGATTCAAACTTTCTGATTCCCAAGTCCAATGTTCTGTCTATCTACCATGCCACTTAGCTAGAGATTTTGTATGTAAATATTGCCTCCCTACTAGAATGGAAGCTCCGGTGAAGGCAGGGACTGTTTCACTTTTGCCTTTGTATCTACAGTACTTGGCACAGAGTAGGTACTTAAAAATATTTGGTGACTGTTTGGTTCTAGCAGCAGAAATTTGTCAGCAAAGTTGCAACTAGGGATAGCCATGGGGGGCTGCTCAGGATGCAAAAGCAAAGATGGGGGGAGGGGGCTTTTTCTTCTGACTTCCCTTCTTCATGGCCTTTAGTTTGTGATAAGCAAGTCAGGTTGACCTCTGTGTTGACCCCAAGTGGTCAGAGCCAAACTGAGGCAGCACACTTGGCTAAGCTTGCCTGGGGTGCGAACTTCGGGGCCCAGTCTTGATCAAAGGCTTTCCCCACCTAGTGCACTTGCCCCAGCTCTGTGCCTGCACTAGAGAGTTTCGCTCAGGCTTCCTGGTTTCTTGCCACAGGCACTAAGCAATCTGTCCCCTCATTCTGCAGCTTTCTCCCCATTGTCTTCAGGGTTACAACTTTTTCCACATGAATTTATGTTGCTGAAGGATTTATTGGTTGGCTAGGCACAAAGGGTCATAGAGGAGACAGACTTATTCCTCCCAAGAAAGTAATGGGCTTGGGTGGGTAATAAATAAGAGGGGGCCTGGGTGTAGCTATAATCTAGGAGGGGGTGGGTTGGGCTTTGGTGCCAGGGGCTCAGTAGCTGCTATCTCCAAGAGTTCCAAGAAGGGGACCAGAGTCTCTGCCAATCCGAGGCTGCCTCCAGATAGCAGATCCAATCACGAAGAGCCAGTATTCCTGGACAGTAGAAATCGAACCCTTATGTTATAGCAGCAAAGCTGATTGTCCTGGACAGAAGAAGGGAGGAAGGGAGGGAGAGAGACTGTAGGAACTGTGGAACCTCCCAATATACATGGCCATGGCTTCAGGACACAGAGGGAGAAGAAGGATTGGGTTATAGGAGCTGGCGGGGCAAGGCTGGCAGGGGCAGGGCTGTTGGAGGTAGGACTGCAGGGGCAGGGCTGCAGGAGTAGGGCTGCAGGGGTAGGGCTGGCGGGGTAGGGCTGGCAGGGGTAGGGCTGGCAGGAGTAGGGCTGCAGGGGTAGGGCTGGCAGGGGTAGGGCTGCAGGGGTAGGGCTGGCAGAGGTAGGGCAGACCTAAGGACTTGGTGAGAAGGGCTGGGGCTAAGCATAGCCCTGGGCAAGGAGCTCTGAAGGACACAGTTCTTGTGTCTCCCTTGGGCTAAAGGGGGGCCTCACTGTCCCAGGGACAATCCTCAGCCTTCTTGCCCCCTTTGTCTCTTGGCTTAGCACACAGGATTGGGGGACTGCTCCCCTCATAAGCGCATTTAGGGTTAGGGTTTTCTACTTTGGGGGCAGGGAGGGGAGCCCCCCGGTCCCAGCCATCAAAGGAACAACAACTCCTGGGTCTTTGAGGCCCCATACTGGGTCTTGTACTCATCAAACAACTTCCGCAGGGCTTCCATGTACAAGGTATGGTACTTGTCCACTGTCTCTTGGTTTGGATTCTCCATCTTGGGGACCATTACAGGCTCCCCAACTGACGGACCAGATGGAGGAAAGAAAGACAAAAGGCATTAGAACCTCCCTCGAGCTCGTCATCAATCCCTCCCTCCCCCCCCAAGAGTCCCAGTCTGGGCACTTCCTTCCCCGTCTCACCTTCCTGCCCTGGCTGTGTAGGCCCCTCATTCTCCAAGAGAGGGCAGTACCCAGCAGCTGCCCCCAGACATATGCTTCCCTCGACCTGGGTAGGGGTATTCCCAGAGAATGCCCTTTCTGAGCTATCAAGGCCCCCTCGCTCTCTTCTCCTCATTGCTCTGTGACCATCTGTAATGACCGTCCTAAACATCCACCCTTCCTCTCCCTCACCTCATTATTCAGTCAGTTACCAAGTCCTGCTGGTTCGACAGCATCGCTCACATCTCCTCCCTCCCCTCCACTCCTGTGGCCATCTCCCACCTGGACTATTGCAATAGCCTCCTAAGTGCTAGTCCCACTTCCAGCATCTCCCCTCGCCAATGCATCCTCCACATAGCTGCCAAAGCCATCTCAGAACAAAGGTCTGGCTCTGCCACTCCGCTGTTCAATAACTCCAGAAGGCCTCCTCTGAGCTCTGAGATCGAGTCTGAAGCCTTCAATGAAGGCAATGGCAGTGAAGGCCTTCCTCCGCGTGGCTCCTGCCTTCCTCTGCAGCCTTCGTTTACTCTGCATTCCAGCCCAGGCGGCTCGCTGGTGAGCTATGCCACATGCTTCACCTTGTCTCCCCTTGCTGCTGAACATCCCTACAGGCTGCCACCCTTCACCTACATTCTCCCTGTCCTGCACAGCTCCGTCTGCTGGGATCCTTTCCCTTCAAGGAAGCACCTCCAATGAAAGCCAGCCAGCTCTTCCTCTTCCCTGATGCCCTTCAAAATACATTCTACTTTATGTCATACTTGACTGGGGCCATGCCTTATCCTCCCGTTAAACTTTAAGTTCTGTGAGGGCAGGGCCAGTGTCTGTTTTTCTCTTTGGTTTCCCAGGCCCAGCACAGAGCCTTCCCCATAGGAAGGGCTTGACAAATGCTTGTTGGATCGACTCGAGCTATCTCTCTTCCTTTCATTTTAGGCAGATCCACTACCTTTTCTAGGCCCTCAGTTTCCTCCTTTCTAAAATGAGGGGGTTGGACCAGACGGCTGCTCGGGTTCTTTCCCTCTCTGCTCACTTCTAGCTCTGATCTGGTTCCCCCAGATCCTCCCCTCCGTCTCCATCCCTTCCTATTTCCTGCCCTCAGCCTCATCTCCCTTAATGTGCCTTGGCACCCATCTCTCTGCAAAGCTAGCTTCCGAGGGGGCTCTGAAGGGGGCTCACCAACGGTGATGATGGGCTTGGGGAGTGGCAGGAGTCCCCAGAAGTCCTGGAAGAAGCCACGCCCATAGAAGACACAAAAGTAAAAACCCCAGAAACTGTGAAACCAGCACTGGAATCGGTACATGCGGCTGTCCTCAGGGAATAGCACCTGGTGGTAGACCTCGGTCTCCCCGAAGGTGAAGGTGGGGACCAAGTGAGCCCTACAATGAAAACCATACTGGTATGGCCAAAGGTAGAGAGGGACAGGAAGCAGCCTCCCTGAGACTATTCCTAGCCAAATTAACCCTTTGCCCCCATGAGGATATGCCTTGGGACTGAAGGTATTGACCCCCACCCCCACTCTGCCCCAAGCCTGGTCTACAATCCTGGGTATCTCAGGAGGGATTCATAGCCACTACTAGAAGACATCTGGGTCTTAGCTTTGGGTGCCCGCCCTCCTCCTCTTCAGATATCAGGACCTCTTGTTGGCTCCCCCCATCACCACTGCCTACCCCCGAACTGAATGTAAAAGTAGCCTGCATGATGTGGTCTGGGGTCCCTAGAAGTCCTTTCCCTGGGTGAAGGGAGAAAATAACAAAGGCTAAACCTCTGAACTCTTGCCTTGGCTTAGCTCTCTGGGGTTGCAGAGTCACATTTGACTCAGGGGAAGGTTTCAGATGGAATAGAAGTGAGCATCTCAAACTCAGTGCCATCGACCCTGCCGGATTGTTTCCTAATTGAGTGGGTCTCTTGGTACCCAGAATGTGGTGGAGTCTCAATAAGTCATTGCAAAATGAAAGAATGACTAAAGGAATGAATGAATGGTCTTGTTAAAATTGTATTTGTCTTCTCTCCCACTAGAATGTAAGCTCCCAGAGGGCAGAGATCATATCATATAAAAACTACCAGCATTTATGTAGCACTTTCAGGTTTGTAAAGTGATCTGCATATGCTAACTCAATGAATCCTCACAACAACCCTGAGAGGTAGGTGCCATTTCATTTTACAGATGGGGAAATGGAGGCCCGGAGAGCTTAAGTGTTCTGCCCAGGTTCACTAGCCCAGCGCCGGTAGGATTCAAGCTCAGGTCTTCCTGCCTCCCACTGGCCAACGCTGCTGCTCAGCTCACGTGGCCAGCACGTCATTCTGTTTACTGTTGGTGCAGGCCCTTAACAAATGCTCCTTGAATGAATGAATGTTTTCAGTCCATACGTGTTTGTGTCTTAGCCTGAGCTCTACTAGACTATAACCTTCCTGAAGGCAGGGATGGTGTCTTCTCTAAACTTTGTATCTCTTAACTGCAACTAGCACAGTGCTCTGCACGCAGCAGGTACGTACTGGAGATTTGTTGAACGGAATCAAACCACTGAAAACAACGGGGTTCCCTTGTGGGGAGCTGGCCTGGCATCACCTACCCATGCTGGAGGGCTGTGCGTACAAAGCCCTTGCGCTTCCTGATGATGAGGGAGGTGCTGTTCGGCACACTCTGCAGAGCCTCCCCGACACCCCCGATGACGATGCCAACAAGGTTTCCAGAGCCTCTCTGGGACAGCAGGTAGTCGAGGCATGGCTGGCTCACTGGGCACACACCTACAGAGGGAGCAAGTAGCTGAGAGGGAGCAAAGGATCCCAGCCTCACTCCCTCACCTTCTGGCTTCCTCCTGGGCACCTCTCCTCATGCCCCTCCTGCCTGGTTCAGTGCCTCTGATGCCAAGAGATGGCACAGAGCTCAGAGGTTGTTCCACCACAGCCCTGGAGCAAGAGGCCAGGGCTGAAACCAGCATCGAGGGGGCTTTGAGAGAGTTACCAGCAAGAGCTTCTTCTCCCTGCTGATGCTGAGGCAGCCAGGGAGGGGGGGATGCTCAGGTGGCACGCCCCAGCAGAACAGAGCCAGACCCACCTTTAGCCATGAGGTAGTCCCTGATAATGGGGATCTTGAAGAACCAGGAGAGCGTGGCCAAATGGGGCGTGATGCCGGGGAAGACGGTGGAGAAGCCTGTGGCTTCAGTGCAGAAATTGCAGAAGGCTCCGAAGGTCAGGATGCCATGGGGATGAACGCCCATGATGTAGTTGTGCTCCGGGCTCAGGTCTTTGGTCTTCAGGAGCTGGAGCCAGAGTTAGGGGTAGAGAGAGTTGGAATGAGACCCCAAGGAGAGGAGGAGGGGTCAAGGAGGAGCCCCCCCCCCCCGCCCCAGCTTCTTCAGCGCAAATGAATGAATGCATGCAGATGAAAGTATTGATTAAGCCGTTACCGAGTGACAGGAACTGGGTTAAGCACTGGGGAGACAAATAGAAAAAGCCAGACCACCTTCTGGTCTACAAGGAAAAGCTGACATATATAGGGAGCTGTGGCTAGGTAGGGTGGAAGGCACGGGAGTGTGGAGTCATGGGGAAATTGACTGACACCCATGACCTTTTCAGGAATGGCAGTGTTGATCAGATAATAATCCAGAGCTGGAGATGGGGCTATGCAGAGGGTGGTGTGCCCTGATGACACAATAGTGTGCTGGGGGTCCCCCATCATGGAGAAAGGCTGGAGCCCTTGGTGAGTGTCAAGGCTTAGCACAGATGGCTTCAATTCAACTGAATAGGGGGCGTAGGGGATGACATTTTCTCTCCAACCAGGTGTATGGTAGCTAGGTGCCACAGTGCACAGAGTGCTGGGCCTGGAGTCAGGAAGACATGAATTCAGATCCAGCCTTGGACACTTACTTGCTGTGTGACCCTGGCCAAATCACTTCACAGTGATTTGCTTCAGTTTCCTCAACTGCAAAATGGGGATCACAATAGCACCTACCTCCCAGGATTGTTGTGAGGATCAAAGGATAATATGAGATAATATTTGTAAAGCACTTAGCACAGTGCCTGGCACATAGTAGGCACTTAACAATACTTGCTTTCGTCTTTTCTTCCTTCCCTCCCTCCCTCCGTTCCTTCCTCCCTTCCTTCCTTCCTCCCTCCCTCCCTCCCTTCCTTCCTCCCTCCTCCCAGGTTTGCCTGGGTTTGGACTCCTTGAGGATAGCCCCAATGACGCGTGCAGGGCTGCTCTTCTTACCCAGTGGGGCCCAGAACAGGGCCTGAAAACAGAGAGGGGCCCGGGGCAGGGCAGCTCACCGTAATGGGGAAGTAGTCTTGGATCTTGGTCCAGACATGCCAGTTTCGTACCCAGGTCGAGCGCCTGCCACCTAAGAGCACAGAGGAAGGTGGCAGGGTGGAAAAGGCGAATGACTATGGTCTTTCCCAGAAGCAGCAAGGTCCCACAGCTTGGAGGAGGCTGCAGAAGTCCGAGCTGGGAGCCTTGGGGCTCGCCGGGGCCTTGTGGCGCCACAGTGCAGAGAGCACGGAGTTTGGGATCAGGAAGACCTGAGCTCAAACTCTACTTTAGGTTCCCATTGGCTGTGTGACCCCAGATGAGTCACTTAACCTCTGTGAGCCTCAGTTTTCAGATCTGTAAAATGGGGATGGTAATAACACCTACCTCACCAGGTTGTAAAGCTTAAATGAGGGAATGTGTGAAAATCTCTTTGCAAACCTCCAAGTACTGCCTAAACGTGGGGGATGCTGCTGCTGGAGGGTGAGAAAGAGCTTGGGGCTGGCTGGGCCAGGGCCCTCACCTTGCTCAGGCGTCTTCCAGTCCAGGACAAACCAGGCAGTGTAGAGTACAGGCAGAGGCCAGAAAGGAGTGAAGACCAGGTAGAAAAAGGTGGGCAGCAAGATCCAAACTGTCAAAGGGATCAGAAAATTGGGGGGAAGTCCAGTTGCGGGGAGCCCACAGCCAGGGCAGACAGCAGGGAAGCCTCCTTGGCCCAGCCGGTGGCCTGTCTCCTCCTGCTTCATCTACTGCCCCTCGTCAATCTGCCCATCTGCCCTTGGTCCATCCACACCCTGGCCATCTGCTTCCTGCCCTGAGCATTCAGCCATTTAGTCTGCTTGCCATCCACCTACCTTCGCTTCCACTTGCCTCTCACCCCTGCCCAGTCCATCCTCCTATACCTGACTAACTCTTCCCTCATTTATCTATCCCTCTGCCCACTCACCCCATACTCTTGCTCTCTGCCTGTCCACGTTCGGTCCATCCACCCACCTTTGTCCCTGAGCTCCCTTCCTGTCTACCCGTCCTTTTGCATCCATCCATTTTTAGGCATCTCTCTCCTCGTCCACCTGTTCTGTCTATTTGCTCCCTGCCTATCCACCTCCCCATCCACTTGCCCACCTGCTCACCCAACTGCTGTATCGCCCTGCTCCCTGTCCGCATGCCTAGCCTGTCCCCCTGTCCCCCCCACCCCTCCCCCATCCTTCTTCCCTGGCCATTTGCCCAGGCTGGTCATTTAGAGCTGTCACCCAACTTTACAGAGCTGCATCCTTCAGTCTTGCCCCTGGTCCTCAGGCTTCTTTGTGACGGTGGGGAGAACACATGGCAGAGGGCATCTGCTGCTATTACACGCCTAGCTCAGCCTTCTGCCTATTTTCCCTATCTCCCATCATCGGGCCAGGAGCCTAGGGAGTCCTGCCATCCTCACTCCCAGGGCTGGAGGCAGAAATCTGGCCCCAAGGACTCCTGGGGCAGAGGCCTAGCTGTGGGCCCTGGCCTCCTCAAGTCATGGCCCATTCCCGGAGCTCACTTCTGACTGGGGCCCCCAGCCCATACTCACATATTGCCAAGTAACTCAGGTGCCACTGGCAAATAGCAAGGGCCTGGATGATGAAGTTAGGATCGCATTGCCAGTGGGAGGGCATGGTACCCAGAAGCCTGAGGGAGGTGCTTGGCCCAGAGCTGGAGGACCCTAACAGCAGTGCCCAGAGACGCCTCTGGACTCTCTGGGCTGGCACCTGCTCAGGCAGCTTGGCACCTGTGTGGATGGCTTTTGTCCCCATCCTCCCCACCCACCACCCACAGACAGGGAGGAGAGGACCATTCTTTCATGGCCTGAGGCTCAGGGCTAGACCCAAGCCCAGCCCTGGTGCCCTTTGACTTTTTCTTTGGCCCCTAGGAGGCCCCCAGGAAGTTCAGAGAGCAAACTAAGAAGACCCAGTTTGCAAGAAGCCTAAGGGGCAGGGGCCTGATTGAAGGGCAAGCTTCCCCCTCCAGCCCCCTCCTCCAACCCTTGCTGGGATTGTAGCCGTAGAGGGGCCCTCTATAAAGTTGGATGAGGGCTCTAGATGATTATCTTGGGTGAGTCAGAAGCCAGAGGGTGGCTTTCCCTTTCTCCTCATTGACCCCCACCCCAGAGGCATCACTGGCTCTGTTCCCAGCAGTGGTTTACAGACATGAGCTCCTCTGGTCCTCACAGCAGCCTTGGGAGGATGGTTCTGTTATTATCATCACTCTCCAGATGGGGAAACCAAGGTTCCTAGAGGATGAATGACTTGCTCAGGGTCACACGGCTACTTGTTAGAGGAGAGCTCTGAAGCCAGTTCTTCCAGGGCTGTTTACTATGGCACAATGCCAAGGGAGGGTGGGGAAGGACTCTGTCTAGGCAGGATCTCTCTTTGGAGCAGATGTGGTCCTAAGACAAGCCTGGCTCGGGGCTGTTGCCTACCCTGTTCAAGGCAGTTTCTGGGGGGAGAGCAGGATTCAGGGCACAAGCAGGGGGAGGTACTGAGCCTTTGCTGCCCTCCCCAGGTCCCTTCTGTCCCCTTCTTGTCTCGTGCCAATGCTGGCATGGCCAATGGGGCCATGGGAACATGCTAATGAGAACATGGTGGGAGGCAGGCTGCAGAGGAAGACGGAAGGCCAGGCAGTCATGAGTCTTTTGGTAGGTCCCAGTGCAGGCCCAGGGGCCTTGCTCCTTCTCCAGTGTCCCTGCTGAACTTGGCTGGTGATGGTGGCGCCAGCTGGGCACCACCAAAGCAACCCAAGCTCAGCTCTTATGCTGTCAGTAAATAGATTATAGATCTTCCACTTGGATGGGAGCCGAGAGGTTATCTAGCCCAACCCCTTCACTTTATAGAGGAGGAAACTGAGGCTTAGAGAAGGGAGCTCACAGAGCTCTGTGGGTGAGGGCCCTGCAAGGTGGTGATGGGATGGAGGCTGCAAACCAGCCTGCCTGTGCCGTCTTGGAAGTTCCTAGGTCCAGACCCTCCTCCCACATCTTCTCGCTCCATGCCAATTTCCCTCCACTCTTGGAAGCTGTGGCCTTCTGGCTTAAGTGGCAGCTAGGTGGCCCAGTGAGGGGAACTGAATAGATATTTACTAACTGTGGGGCCCTGGGCAAGTCACTTGACCTTTATCTGCCTCAGTTTCCTCATCTACAAAACGGAAATAATAATGGTACCTACTAGCCAGGAGGATTAAATGAGATAACAAAGGGAAAGAGCTCAAGGCTGGTAAGGCCCTCTAGAAATGGGAGCCACGATTCAGTGCCTGGTCAAGACCAAACACTGTCATGTGGCTTTGCTCAGCTCACTGGGCTTTTTCTGGGCCTCGTTTTCTTCTGCTGTAAAATGGGAGTGGGGGAGGCTTGAGCCCAGGTCAGCTCCTGATCCCCTGGGCCCTGCTGTTGAGCATACCTGGGACATAGTCAATGAATGAATGACTAGGCCTGCCACCCAGGTAAGGGGCAAGGCTGTTGAACCTCCTTTCCCCAGTTGGGAAAGCAGATGAGGTGTCCCAAGTTACTTTCCAGGCTGCTGGGCTTGTTGGCTAATTCTGAGCTGTCAGGGTGGAGCCCTCTGCTCGTGGCTTCCTGGTGCCTCAGGCATTAGGGCAGAAAACAACTGAGTCACAGAGTCAGAGCCTTGAACTGAGGGATGGGAATATTAGTTAATCATTCTAGCTTCACTGCTTTGCTTACCAGGCTCCTGCCCTGTCCAGAGGGCAGGGGCACCTCTGTCTGGATGGATAGCTGTAGCCTAGAGTGATCTTAGAGCAAGGGGGAGAAATTCTCCCCTTTGGCACCAGGGGAGAAATCCAGAAATAAAGAGGTAGACATTTCAGAGCTAGGCGGCCTTCCAGAGGGAGTTTCTCTTTAGTCGCTATGCTGTCTCTCTCCACCCCACCCCTAACCTCCCTTGCAGGGAGGGATGAGGAATCCCACAGGCTTGGGATTCTTACCATTGCTCATGAGACTGAACATCTGGGCTTGTCCCAGAAGCCCTAAATCTTCAAGCTGGAAGGGACCCAGAGGTCTTTGAACAAGGAGCCCCTCTGTGACAGCCCCAGCAAATGGTGGCCCAGCCTTTGTTTGCGGCCCTCCAGTGATGGGGCACCCACTCCCTCCTGAGGCAGGCAGCCCATTCACTTTGGAAGTTTTTCCTGACATCATGCTTAATTTGGCATTTTTGAAGTCCCCCATCCCCCTCATTGCTTCTAGTTTTGCCCCCTGGGGCCAAGCAGACCAAGTGTAATCTCTCTTCCATCTTTAACAGCCCTTTACATACTAGAAGACAGCTTTTATGTGCCCCGAGTCTTCTCTTCTTGAGGTTAGAAACACTCCCAATTCCTTCAAGCAGTCCTCATGTATTATGAGTATGAGGTCCGTCCCCATTCTGCTTGCTGCTACTGGACGCTCTCCATTTTGTCAGCGGCCACCACACAAAAACTGCCTGGTTTTGGGGGAGCCCAAGATTCATCTAATGTGCCATTCACTCTCCTGAGTGCAGTCAGGGAAAATGTTGCTCTTTGATCTACTGAGATACCTGAAATATGAGGTGGAGGCTGTGACTGCCAGGTTGGATGTTGCTGGAATTGGGATCTTGTTATGTGTTGCCCAGCTTGGCCATTGACAGGTCTTTACTGGCTCATTTTCTCAGGATAATGAGACCTTTTTTCCTTTTGAGAGTGATTTGGAATGATACTAAATGACAAAAATGCTTGTATCCTTTGACACAGAGACCTCCTTGTTAGGCATATGCCCTAAAGAGGTTAAAGACAGAAGAACAAGTCCCATAGACACAAAAATATTTATAGCAGCACTTCTATTCTCACAAACAACTGGAAACAAGGTTTGGCCCTCAACTGGGGAATGGCTAAACCACTTATGGTATGGGAATGTAATGGATGATCTGAAGCATTGGGAGAAGCATGGGTAATGATGAGGACCAGGGTCCAGGCCTCAAGGGAGAGATGTGAGAATGCACCTCCCATCTTCCTTCACAGAGGCAGGGGACTGTGGGTGTGGAACATTGCATACACCGGCTGACTTGGTTGATGCCATGGTTAGTTTTACTGAACTGGTTTTCCCTCTCTTTTAAAATTCCTTGTTATCAGGAATAACTCTTTGGGTTGGGGACACGGGATGGATATGTTTGGAAATGAAGGTGACATACAAAGAGAATATATGAGTAAAAATTTAAAAGAAAATAACAGAAAGGAAGAAAGTTGGAAAGAAAGAAGCAGCTGGGTCCCCCTTTAGAGTCCAGTTGGGCGTCTTAACTCATGAATCAGTTTGCCCTGCCTAGTACAGAGGTGGCGACCCAGTTCACAGTCCAACAAGCAGTTTCCACTCTGAGCTGGGCACTGTGCCAGGCCCTCTGGGGGAAAATACAGAACAGAAACAGTGAATGTCATCAAGGAATTTCTGGTCCTCTGGGGGTGGGGGTGGGGATGCTACGAGTGGGTAAATACAAAGTAGAGAAAAGGTGATTCAGAGAGGGAGAGGGTGCTGACGCCTTGGGGGATGGGCCTTGTATTGGAGGAGGTGCCCGGGCTCAGCTCTGAAAGAATCTGGGAATTCGACAAGCTGCCAATGAGCATGGAGTCCATTCTAGGCATTGGGGGTTACTTGTGCAATGGTACAATGACAGGAGAGGGAATGGAATGATTAGGAAACAATTAGGCTGGTTTAACTAGAACAGAGAGGGCATGAAGCTATGAAATGACTGAAAAAGTTAGTGGGACCCAGATTGTGGAGGAGACAATAGAGTTTCTATTTTATCCAAATTGCACTAGGGGAGCCATTGACGATTTTTGAGTGGATGAGGGAGTGACCAGAGCTCTGTTTTAGGAATATCAGTGTGGCAACTGCGTGGAGGATGGATTAGAGAGGGGAGGGACTAGGAGCTGGGAGCACAATGAAGAGGTTATTACAATAGTCCTTCTGAATTAGGGTAGAGGCTACATGAATAGAGAGATGGATTCCAGTGACTTAGACAAGAGTTAGCTGGAGCTAACTCAAATTGAGAGAGCTGATTATTAAATGTCTGGTGTGAGTATTCACACTTGGGAATTAGGCAAAGGCTACAAATCCAGCTTGATCTATTGTTAGATTGTCTAGACTTAAGAAAGTGTTGCATGTTTGACATAAGGTTCAAAGTGTGTTGTGGGTACATTTATTTATCTATTGGAGGACTGGTTGTTAAACATTTAACATCACACCCCTGGATGTAGTAGAGATAGAAACAAGACTTAGCAATCACCTGCATATGGGAGGTGAAGGAAAGAGAGGGTGGTAGATGGCTTCAAGACTGTGGGCCCCAGGGTGAGTGGTTGGCTGCTGGTGCCCTCAATAAACATAGGGAAGTTCATTGGAGTAGTGGGTATAGGGGGAAGGGGCATGAGTTCTGTTTGGGACATGCTGGAAGAATGGGTTTCCTTGCTGCCATGGGATCGGTCTACGTGTGAGAGCCAGGATTTATGAAGAATGAACTTTGGTAGCTAAAGATTCAAGGGGCCTTATTAGAAATGAATGAATGAACGATAAGATTAATCACTTACTATGTTCCAGGTACTGTGTTAAGGGTTAGGGATGCAAATGCATGCAAGGAAGACAGTCCTTGCCCTCAAGGAGCTTACATTTAAAAAAATACAAAACAATTTTATTGATATTGTTTTTATATATCATATATTCTTCCCCCATTCCATATAACAGATGATTTTTTAGGAGAAA